TAATCTCACCTTGGGATAGTAAAAGAATTGAGTGTGCGTTAGTGAATTAGAAATTTCTATCATAGAGATCAATAAGGCTATACGGCATCAGCACGATTTAATTTTGGCACGTCTCAATAACAAATGTGTCCATATTGTAGGTGTGTTCGACCTAGCGAATATGTGAGCAAAACTTGGTGCTGGACACAATCTATAGAGAGAGTCTATGCTGGTCCAAGTTTTGTTGAGTCTACGAACGTGTAAGATTTTTTTCTTATTATTCCTATGATTGTGTAAGACTATGTACACAGTACACTTAATAAATAACAAAATTTCAAAAAGAGGTACGGCAATAGGTAAAATGCATCTTTAAAGAGATTGAAAGTTACAACTCAAAGTCACCAAGAAATCATCATTTTTATATTCTTATTAATTAACTAGTATTTTTTTCAAAGTGCAAGGCGCACATGTGACTTTTGTACATTTATGTCATGTTTGGGAGTGATTTTTTCGTCCAAAAATTTAATTTTTTGACTGTTATTTTACTATTTCAGTCGTCATATTTGACTTATTCTCTCACAAATGGACCCCACTTTTCTCCTAACGGTCAAAAAATCAAAATCACTCTCAAACAAACTCTTACTTCAATTCACTGTATTCTTCTTCAAATGTTATCCATGCGATTACTATAAACTAACGCGTGGTCCGTGACACGAAGCTCACTTAAACCCTTACTAGAAATTCATTTATATTTAGTAAAGAAATTGATTTGATTGAACTTAGTCATAAAACGAGAGTTGAAATTTGTTAACGCTCTTTAGCCAAATGAGGTGGGTCTAATTCTTTACCATATAAATGCTCGCCTCTTAACAAGTTAACATAATCTTTCTTTCGACACGAGATGAGAGTTCGTTTTGCCCTGTAAATACAAAGAATGTTAAAGGAAGTCAATGTCGTCCTATTGAAGAGATAAAGAACAAGAAGTGAATAGTAAGGTGACTCATTTTGATAAGTCATTTTTTGTGGAACACTGAAGAAGGAAAATGTAAATCGATCACTTTAAAAATTAGAAAGTAAAGTACTATATTGGGATGGGATTGAAAGAAATGATTTTAAACTGGCAAAGATCGAAAATTTATGAGATAATTAGATGTGTCGTGTGTATGCACATGCAATTGTACAGAAGAAACGAATTTATGAAAATCGATGCAACAGGAAAAAAGAAAGAAATAAATAAATAAAAATGAATGGATATATGTGCTACTTGAAAAAACACTCAACCTGAAAAAATCAAATATATTATTTAACTAATAAAATTTGTACAAGGAATTTAATGAAACGTCATAGTTTTGCCAACACAATAATAAACAATGATGGGAAATCTTCAATTCCTTCATGACTTTTGTCGAGTCCCCATTGTTAATCATAATTTATTATGAAACAAATTGTTTTGACCTTAATTAATTGAACTCCAATTCTTTTGATCTTCTTCGTTTCCAAGACAATAATTAATTTTATTAGGTTGAAAAAATTATAAATGAATAGCACCAAAACGTACAGATAAAATGTATGTTTAACCAGATTAAAAAATATATAAACTTTGACAACATGCATTTTTAGACACACTTAACTTGATAAAAAGTTTAGACTGAAAAAATAATTAAAGTCTATACGATCTTGTGAATGTAACACCAAGTTGGTTCTACTTGCGACGCACTACGTAAAAATCTAGGAAGTGCCTCTGTTTCTTCTCTATAATCTTCCCATTCTCTTGAATGCTCATTGACGAGTCAATGTCAAGAAGTATTTGCAAACTCATATAGTCATGTACTCGTGGAAAATACACTTCACGGGGTCTTTATCGATTGGATTTAATGTGTGTCTACAAAGTTTATAATTATTTATAAATCAGACGAGCACACATTCGACAAATTTACATTTTTTACTTATTTTTTATCTACATATTTCGTAAATCTTGCAACTTTATAATCAATTTCGAGTGTGCGATTCTATCAAGATGTGATTTTTTTTGTAAATTGATTGTATTTATTAATTAATACCTTCTTAAATAAAAATAATAATAATAATAATAAAACAAAAAATAATAATAATAAAATGTTTGGTCCTGGCGGAAAAAATTAAAGGCAAGTACTTTACTGCCCTCAAATGCCAACCCTAACTTTACCCTTGCTACGCCACCCCACCCCATCCCACCCCACGCAGCCCCTTTCGTTTTCCCTCCTTTCTCTCCTCTTATGAAAACTTCGCTATACAAATCTCTCAACACAAACACTTCCTCAAACATTTTTCACACTGATTACCACCCAAATGGGGAAATACATGAGAAAAGATAAAATAGGAGGTGATGTAAGCGTGATGGAACTCTCACAGTCCACCCCAGGGGTACGCACCCGGGCCAAAACCCTAGCCCTTCAACGCCTTCAATCCTCCTTCTCCGTCGCCGCGCAGTCGAAGCCCGAGTCGTGTTATCTCCAGCTCCGTTCACGACGACTCGAGAAAACCTTTTTTTCGAGGCACCAACAGAATTCTCCAAAAGGGTCTGAGCAGAAACAGGGGTATAGTTGCGGAGAAAAAGAGGGCACCGATATTGCACTGTCTTGCGAGAAAGAGTATTTCGGGTCGTATGTGAAGTCGGGTTCAATTGGGATGGTTAAGAAAGAGGAGAAATGCTTTGAAATGGAAAACAGTGTGTTTGAAACAGGGGATTTGGAAATTGAAGCCTCTTTTGGAGAAAATAATTTGGACTGGGAAGCTAGAGAAAGGTGTATATTTTATTTTATTTTTCTAATATTCTTTCATTTTTATTTTTATTTTTATTTTTAAAGGATTACATGAATTTCTATGACCTGTTATGTTCTGATGAATTTTTTAGTGTTTCTCTTCATTAGCTTCAGTCTCCTAAAATCTTTTGGAAGGAGGGAAAGGGGAATGGCGATTATAATAATTTTTTTGGGTTTTTTTTATAAGAGAAAAAGTAGAAAAAAGAAATTTTTTTGTAACTCTTTGTTTGGGGATTTTCTCCCCCCACCTTCACTTCTCTTCTGTATTTTATTTCATTTCACAAAAAAAGAATCTTATTTATGTTCCTTTTGCCCGGAAAAATTCACTCTTTTTTGTTATACAACAGAAAAAGTAAATCTTTTTCAACATCTTTGGAGATTAAAAAAAAAAGTGAGTAATGGCTTCTAAAGTTCTCAAATTTGTTGCTTTTTTGTTTTTATAAGTTGCTTTTTAATTGATGGAAAATACAAAAATAAAAAAGAAGCTCTTTAGGAGGACTTTCAATAAACATCTTAACCCCCGACCCCAAATATTGCTCTTACAAACCACATGTTTTCCCCCTCACTTTTTGGTACTCTCCATGTTATTTTTTGAGATTTTTCCAGCAAATAATTTTTTTATCAGCTTCAAATTTGTTAATTTTTTTGGGTTTTTGCTTCTCCTGGGGAAGTAAGATTTGAAAATAGTTTTCCTGACAACTTTTACAATAGGTTGCATGTTTAGGCGTGTATGTAAAGTGGTCAAGTATTTTTCAAGCAATCATATCTGTGTTTTTTCTGAGCAGTGAAGTATTTAATGAAAAAGCCATATATATTTTTTTCTTTCAGTTTGAGTGCCTTTAATACCTACTGAGGTTAGTTTTTATTCATCACACTGTTTTGACAGATGTGGAAACT